GCGGGAGGGTGTGCTCTCCCTGTCTGTGTGTGTCCTGTGATGTGAGCGCTTCCGACCCAGTTGTGGGTCCGGGTGTGTAGTGCGTGTGATGATGGCGGTGCTTCTACGTGTGACTTTTCTCAGTAACAATGTGTGAGTGAATTCTATGGTGGTGGCGTGACCTATGTGCGTGTCTTTCTGTGTTTGTGTGTGTATGTGTGATTTCGTTTTGTTTGTGAGGAAGTGGTCTTTGCATTCTTGTTGTGCACGCCCCATTTTGGCTCTATTGCACTGAGTGACTTGGATTTTGTATGTGTATTCATGAGGCTGTTTTCTCCCTGTGTCTTTGTGTAGCTGTGTCATTGTGGGGAGAGGAGCCATGATTGCCTCTGCTGCATTCATTGTCTTTAAGGGTGTGTGTGTCCTTGCACCTGGGTAGCTTGGTGATTGTAACTGCATGAGCATCTGTGTATGTGACCCTGTGCGGTTTTCTGTGGGTGGATGTGGCAGTGTTGGGTTGCATATGTGACATCTCAAGGTCTGTTAGTCCATGTTAAGTGTGTTTGAGGCTGTGATTGCTGGTGAGTGTGTGAGTCCCCAGGTGGCAGGTGCCCAAGGGCACTTGGAGCACATCCTCCTGTAAGTCTTCAAGGCTGTGTCTGTACCAAGGACAGGGGATTTTAAAATTATTAAATATTTTCCACATGGCATAATATATTTAACATATATGTACAATGCAAGTAATAATAATGTAATAACTCCCATGTGTACCTACCACTCAGTTTAAGAAATAGAGCATGACAAACAGAAGACCCTGGGTGTCCCTCCCCATGGCAGCCCCTCTTCTCCATAATCATCATCCTGTATTTTCTGTGTGTTGGTCTCTTACTTTTAGCTTATCACATATTTATGTATCTCTAAACATTATATTGTTTAGTTTTTCCTCACAGAGATGGAAACCGACCTGGCATCTGGCTCCTGCACTAGGGGTCACTAGGAAGTCATCAGTGTGTCTGGCAGTCTAAGGCAGTCTGCAGTGGGATTCTGCAACTTGGTTTTTATTTTTTATTCTTTTGCTCCACATTGCTTGTGAGATTCATCCACAATGAAGTGTGTGGCTGTAAATTATTTTTATTGCTGTACAACATTTTATCCTGTGAGTATGTCATGGCTTATAGGTGCATTCTCAAGATGTCAGTAGACATTTGGGTTGTTTCCAGGCTTTTCTTTTTCTCCTCTCTCTGCTTTTATGAGATTACAAACAGTGCTGCTGTAATTTTCCATGAACTTGTGTCCAGTAGTATATGCACAAAAGCAATTCTGGGGTGTAACACCCCAGGAGTGGCTCATAGGATATGTGCATTCTTTTAGATAGTACCAAACCGTTCTTCAAAATTATTTTGGCAATTGAATTCTCACCAGCAATGTATGAGAGTTTCTATTTTTCCACATCCATGTCAACCTTGGATATTATTAGACTTCTTGAGTTTGGGCAATCCTTTGCGCATATTATATATGGCATTTCACTCAGTTTAATTTGCATTTGCCTCCCTGATTACTAATGAGATTTACTATTTCTCATGTGTTTAGTAACTTTATTTCCTTCTTTGTGAAATACTTCATCACCAGTCTTGCCCATTTTTATTTTACTTTGGTTTTCTCATTGCTTTTTAGGCATTCTTTGTATATTGGATACTAATCCTTTATTTACTGTGTTCCAGGCATCTTCTCCCACTCTGGTGTTACCATTCATTTTTTTATGGTGTCTTGGGATAAAAAGAAATTCTTTATTTTAATGTAGTCAAATTTAGTTGTCTTTTCCTTTTCATTTTTCCCAAAGTTGGATCACTTGTTCCTGCGTGATTTTTTGAAGTAGACCCTGTCTCCACTGCTGTGTCATGTAGCAAGTGTCAATATGTGTGGATCTGTTTCTAAGCTCTGTTCAATCCTATTACTTTCTTCCACTGTATCAAATCTGCTGTTACACTTGCTGGTTTTGTTTCTAATTTCACTGAAAATATATTTCTACATGTTCTATATGTTTCTTTTTCAAATCTTCAAGGTCATTTTTATGGTCTTTTGTTACTTGCTCATACTTTTGATACACTCTTTTATTTCTTTAAACCTACTGAAATTGTTTCAAAACTGTCTGAACTGAACATTAGTCATTAGACAATTTATTCTACAGATGCACTTGCACACATACCAAAATGGTATAGGAACACAGTTATTCATTCTAGCATTATTTATGAGAATAGCAAAAGATTGGAAACACTCAATGTTTATCAAAGACTGATGAAATAAACTATTGTACATCCATATGAAAGGGATTCAGTGCAGAAAAATGAAGGAGAGAGAGAGAGAGAATGCACTTGATGTCCTGATGTAGATAAGGATTCCAAAAAGCAAGGTGCAGAATACTCTGCTACCTTTCAGGTAAAATTGGTGGACAGTAGGAACCTATAAAATGCAAATACAGGTTCCTGTTGTCCAAAACATTAATATAGAAAAATCTATAGCTGTCATATCTACCATCATCCCTCCTATAAAGAAACCTGGTCTCCAGCAGACGTGGGGCAAGTTAGTCACTAGGAAATCTTGCAGGGTGGTGTGTGCGTGTGTGAGATCTAGGGGTATTTGGGTGGCCTTATGTCTGGAGGTACTTGGGAGCTTTAGGGATGTCTAGGTATATTTGAGGGGCCATGTTGCCTCTGGTGGCATCTGGGGATGTTTGAGGTCCACGGAGCCCTCAATGGGTTGGCGGTCCTTGGCCTGACCGACGCTCCCATCTTTCCTCTCACCTCATCTTCCCGCAGGAGCCCCGCGGCCTGGGAGCAGCCTTGCAGCCCATGGTTGAGGCTGGCGTTTCCCGCCGCTTCCGGCGAGCAGCGCCCCGGGGAGAGGTGGCGGGGCCGGTGCAGGAGCTGGCGCGGGCGCTGGCGCACTTGCTGGAGGCCGAACGGCAGGAGCGGGCGCGGGCCGAGGCCCAGGAGGCCGAGGATCAGCAGGCGCGCGTCCTGGCGCAGCTGCTGCGCGCCTGGAGCACACCCCGCACCAACGACCCGGCCCTGGGCCTGGAGGAGGACCCCGATGCACCGGCCGCGCAGCTCGCTCGTGCCCTGCTCCGCGCCCGCCTCGACCCCGCCGCTCTCGCAGCCCAACTTGTTCCCGCCCCTGCCCCAGCCGCTGCGCCCAGACCCAGGCCCCCTGTCTATGATGATGGCCCCACTGGCTCAGATGCCGAGGACGCCGGTGACGAGACGCCTGACGTGGACCCTGAGCTGCTGAGGTACCCCGGGAGGCGGCGGGGGCCGCGGGGCCTGCTTCACGAGGTGGAGCTGCGAACACCGAGGTCCAGGGAGTGAGGTCCTGGCGTAAGGGCGTAGGGGCATAAGGGCAGGGATGCCTGGCTGGGAGGACAGTGGGGGACATGGGCTCTCATCTCGGAAGGCGGGCTCCGTTGCCCGCTTTCTTGGGGGAGGTAGGGGCGGGGAATCGACATAGTTTCCGGGATAGGAGGTGAGAACCTCTGTCTCCTGAAAGCAGGGGCCTGGGGATGCCAAGGTAGGGAGGAGGCTGGAGATGGCCGGAGGTGGCCGGGTTCCCAGGCGGCAGAGTTGCAGGGCCGTCTGGGTCCTAGGGCCGGGGCGTTGACATGCGGACGCATCCTCTGCTCATTGAGCCCGGCTTCCCCGTGCAGGTACTTGTTGGGGCGGATCCTCGCGGGAAGCGCCGACACCGAGGCTGTGGCTGCCCCGCGCCGCATCCGCCGCGCCACAGACCAGGATCTGAGCCCCGAGGGGCCCCATGAGGGCGTGCTGGGGGCCCTGCTGCGTGTGAAGCGCCTGGAGACCCCTGCGCCCCAGGCGCCGGGGCGCCGCCTCTTGCCGCCTCTTGCCGACTGAATCGCGCCCGGCGCCCGGCCCCCGGTACCCCGCCAGCTCTCCGCCAGCACGTTGAGAACCGCTTACCCCGCCAACCTCAGTTGCTGCCTTCAGACCCCATGATCCCTACCCCTGGCCCTACAATAAATACGGTCTGAAAGCACCTGTGTGCTTGTCTGTGTGAATGGCAGTCTCTAGGGGCCTGGTGGGCTGGCTGGTGATGGCTGCCCATACACAAAGGCAGATGGGCTCCTGTCCTCGGTCCGCACTTTAGAGACCCTCCTCCCCCAGCCAAGGCCTCTTCTCATTTGGGGGGCGTCCCTATGCACAATGGCGGTGTCTCACTCGGGTATGGGGAGCCCAGGAGGCTTTCAGGGCCTGCAGCAGCGTCCTGGGGGTGTGTGTGTCCATCCTCCTAAGGACCAAGGGGTGGCTGTTTGCGAGGCAGGTGAGTGGAGTTCAGGCCATGCCAGCTGGCACGTCCACATGCACATGAGCGCCACCTGATGTTGAAGGGGCTACCATCCGGAGGAGAATGGGAGCAAGCTGCAGGCTAGGGGTCAGCTCTTCGAACAGGTCACATCCTGGCAGGGAACTCAGAGGAGTCATTAGGAAATTCTCCCAGAGGAATTACATCCTCGCGGGAAGCGCCGACACTGAGGCTGTGGCTGCCCGTCGGATGGACTTTATGCTTGTTAGCTTAACTTGTAATGTTTCAATCCTTACATCGTATAGAGGTTGCCCTATCTACGCTCTTACTGCCGCCCTGAAGATGCCTGAGGTGGTATGGTAGCTCATGCCATTGCACCAGCTACTCCCCCTGCCACTAGTTATCTGCAAGTTTTTATTCAAATGTCACCCTACTTTAGTAAGGCTTTCCTTGACTTCCCTGTCATTCTATTCCTCCGCCTGCCTTTAATACAGATCCTTATGTCATATCTACAAGGGCTGAGATTTTTAAGTGTCTTGCTTGCCTTTACAACCTTTGCACCCAAAGCAGGGCCTGGCTCACAGTGGACTCCACCACATTTCTTCATGAGAGAATTCTCACATTTCAACTAACATTCTTCCCAGTCTCACTCCCACCCACATAACACGCCGCATGGAGACAGCTTTGAAACCTGAGAACACCGTTTATTTACCTCTGCACAAAATCTTCCAGGTTGCCCTAATATAATCAACACTATGGCCCACATTACCAAAAGCCTATCACCGAATGAAAACCTCCCCAAGAGAGGGAGGGTCCACCTATTCCTAGTACACCAACAGTGTCCCATTCAGCTAGTTGCTCTGGGGGTCTCATGTCAAGGAACTATCACCCTGGCCTGGAAGAGGGTCTACTTTTCTTGACCAACACTCTTCAGGCTATGCAGCAGCCACAGTGGCACATGGTCTTCTGGTGCCGGGCCTTATCCCCTCCTGGCCCTGCCATGGCCTCCTTTGCCATGGCCTCCCGGACCCTTTGAATTTCATGGATAAGCAGGGTGAAGGCCTCCTCTACACCTTGTCGTGTCTTGGCTGAGGTCTCCACGAAGGGAGCCCCCCAGCTCTTTGCGAGGGCTATAGCAGCAGCGTGAGCATCTCCAGTGCTGGTCACAAGGTCACACTTGTTGCCCACAAGGACAAGAGGCTGGGTGTGGTGAGGGCCCCATGTGGCCCGCATCTGCTGCAGCTGGGTGAGAGACGACGGGTCATCCAGGGCAAAGACACCCAGCACACCATCCCCAACAGCCAAGCACTGGTCACGCAGGGCCCTATGAGTGGCCTGCCCTGCGGTGTCTAGCACATTCAGAATGCAGCCCCCATGGCCCAGGGCCACCTCCTTCCAGTAAGAATCTTGGATCGTGGGGTCGTGGTCTTCCACGAAGCACTGGTGGTTCAGCTGAATGGTCAGTGCGCTCTTGCCTACACCACTTGCACCCACCACCACTGCCTTGTACTCGGGCAGCTGCTTGCCAATGCTACTGGAGGGTGCCCGAGCCTTGTGGCTGTCCTTCCGGGAGCTAGGGCTCCACGTGCCCAGGCCCAGATCAAATGTGCTAGGTTTTCTTGGCAGCGCCATTCCCCCAGTGGGCAGCTCAGGGAAGAGATGTGGACAGCAGGCCCTGTAAGTGGGAAGAGAAGAATGGGGGTGGGGTGGGTATAAGTTAGGTGAGACTTTGGATTCAAGGGGACAGGCAGTTGGGTGTCATTGAATCAACATTTATTGAGTGCCTACTGTGTGCTAATCACCTAATAGGCTATATACATTATTTACGTTGTTTATTCTCTGTCTTTTTTTCCCTTCTATGACAAACTCTGTGAAGGCAGGGATTTTCTAAAACAGCTTTACTGAGTTATAATTTACATGCTGTGAAGTTCACCCTGTTAAAATGTATAATTCAATGTTTTTTAGTATATTCACGCAGTTGGGAAGCCACCACCACAATCTAATTTTAGAACATTTTCATTGCCCCAAAAAGAAACCCCCTGCCTATAAGCAGCCCCTCCTCATTCCGGAGGGAGAGCAGGGATTTTGTTGGTTTTGATTTCGGATTGTGTTGCTGTGGAACCCCATCTCAGCACGGTGCCTGTTACACGTTGTGTGCTGAGCAACATTCCTGCCCCCACGGAGTTTATGTTCTAAAAGGTGGAGACAATGAAACAAATAAATAAGAAAATTCTGAGGTCTGCTAGTCATTATCATTAGAATTCAGTCTTTATTACTTATTCAACCTAACAGCTACTGAGAACCTACTGTGCGGTAAGGACATACAGGGGGGAAACAGATAACAAACCCTAGGCCTCATGAGCGTTATTCTAGTCAGGAAGACAGACAACAACAAAGATAATCAGTTAAATGTATTTCAGCAACAGGTGATAAGCATGCAGAAGGTGCTAGGTTAATGTTAGGCGCTTTTATTATAATTTAATTTTCACTCGTTAATTCAAGAATCCTCCTGCGTGCCAGGCATTGTGATGGGCGAGGGGATGGGAGGTGGGAGGTGTGGGGGTGTGGGGACCACAGAGAGCAAAATAGAATAAAGTCCCTGCCCTTAGGAGGATTAGATTCTGGAAGTGAGAAAAAGACAATAAAGAAGATAAGCACGTTCATTATCATGCAGTTAGAAGAGGATGGGCACACAGCAGGTGCTCAATTAGTGTTAGTTATTAATAGCAAATTACCATTAAGTCATTCAATACACATCCTGGTCTTTGGTTTAGTGTGTGGCCTCATGATATGCATCATAATAGCTGCTACCACAGGCCTCTCTGGAAACCAGGGAGGGGTGGCAGTTTGGGGGCAGATGGTGTGCTCGAGGTATCCATGGGGGGTTCTGTTGCGGTTGGGATCTGGGGATCAGGCTCAGGGAGTGGGGGAAGGTCCCAGATAGGGATCCAGATGGGGGGAGGTCCTCACCCCAGAAAGATCCCTGAAAATAGTTATTGGGTGTGCTCACCCAGAAAGAAGGGGGTCATGATAGGGAAAGGCAAGCGCAGGACAGAGCTCTGGGGGGTGCCCAAACGTTTGGTGGGTGGAAAGAGGGATAAGATGTAGCTATGAGGCCAGACTGAGGGGAGGGGGCTAGAGCGGAAGCAGTGAGGAAGCTGCTGCAGCATCCAGGCCAGTGATGGCAGTGGATGTGAAGAGAGGTTGGTTTTTGGTATATTCTGAAGGTGAAACTGACTGACAGGATTTGTTGAGAGTAAACGGCAGGGGAGGGGGGACAGAATGACTCCTGAATTTTGGGCCTGGGCGGCTAGAAATCTGAGGGTGCCATCACCTGAGGTAGGGGGCATGTGAGAAAAGCTCTCCCTCTTGGCGAAGGTCCCCGTAACCATGCTAATGATCCTAAGAGCAGTAGATATTATCTACCGAGAGTCTGATGTGTGCCAGGTGACCCGCCCTTCATGCACATACTCAATCTTTCTGATACCCTGGTGAGGCGTGGGCTATCATCATTATAGCGACTTTACCCACGAGGGCCAGCGAAGCTCAGAGAAGTGAGGTGGCGGTGACTGGCCCAAGGCCACACAACCCACCAGAGAACAACAGAAGACAAGCCGCAACCTTTTTAAGTAGTATACAACCGCTTGCTGCAGCAAGCGCTACTGAAGTGTCATCATAGGGTCCTTGAGACCCTGTGATCCCTCCCCTCTTTGAGCCGCCTGGACCACCTAGTGGGGTAACAGGAGGGGCAGGGGGAATGGGGGGGGTGTAGGGGAACCAGCCCAAATGTGAAGTTAAGTCCCCGCTTCAGGGCTAGCTCAATCTCAGCAGTTAACACTTCCTTTGCCTACCCAGGTGAGGTGTAAAGCTTGGCGTGGGGAGGGGTGACCCTGTGTAAAGGCTGGGCAATCTTGCACAGTTCTCCTTTCTGGGGGGCCGGGCAGGGAAGGGAGCACCCCAATTCCGAGTCTTGTTCCTGCAGCCTCGCTTCCCGCCCCGCACGGACACCCTCACCCAGGTCCGTCTCGACAAAGCCCACTGGGTGATGGGCTAGAGGGTGGTTGCTGGCTCCTGAGAAGGTGTGGCGGCAGAGGAAGGGCTCCCTCACACCCGGCCTCGGTCGCATCCGTACAACCCCAAGGGGGAAGACCTCCCAGACTGGGGTTGGGGCTGGGGCTGGGGGCCCGGCGGGCCCGGCTCACCTCCGTCCTGGGATAGGTGGTTGCGCTCGGACCCGAACCTGCCGCAGCTCTGACAGGACTGACAGGATAGGAGAGGCTCCCACCCAGCCCCGGCGACGGGGTGGGAGCCGGGGGCGGGGCGGGGAGAAGGAGCACGCATGCGCGGCAGCCCTCCCTCAGGCCCCCTGCCCCCAGGTGAGCGCGGGGTCAGGGCCGTGCCAGCAAGTGTACGCGAAAGAGGTCTTCTTGGGGTACGTTGCAAGCGCCCAGACCTCCTTGTATGCCATCCTGTGTCTTGCTGCACCTCTGCCTTATCTTGCCCTCATCTGGGATGTGGTTTCGTTATTGTAGTGAGCGAAGGAGGGTGTCAGATCTTTGACCTGAGTGGCCGGACTTTGTGAAATGTTTTGGGAGGGTCTCCTTGAAGCCATGGAGCCTGTGCTGCAAGCAGGCTTTTTGGTAGCTTGGGAGATGGTTGTGTCTGTTCCTGAAGAGAAAAGGTTGCAAGAGAGGGGTTATTCTGTCAGGGTAGAAAGAATCTGATTTGAGGTAGATGGATTTGTCAAGCTAAAACATTTCCCAGACTCTTTTGCAGCTATGACAGTCATGTGATACACTTCTGACTAATAAGATGTAAGCAGGGGTTGTTGAGTGGGCCATCCAGCATGCTCCTTAAAAGGCTGATGATGAAATAGGCTGCAGGTCCCTTCCCCTTCTTCTTGACTGGCTGGGGTTCTGGTAGGTCACCTTGGGGTTATAAGGTGGCCATGAACAGAAGTCCAGGAAACCTCAGCCTGAACACCTTTGAGTTGCCAATGCAATTCTCATTATGTGGGAGAAATAAACCCCCCAAATTATCCTCCAGTTGCTCACCCCTGGTCAATGGTAGGTACTCCTTCCCCCAGGAAGCTACCTTTGACTGACTACCAAATCTAAGTATGTTAAAGCTTGACTCCCTGCCCCCTCACAAGTCAAGGCCAAAAGACAGATGAGGAGACAGTCCTGGTGAGATATTTTCCTGATAGTTCTCTTGCCTTCTCAGTCCCAGGTATAGCCGGGATTGGCTGTGAGGCTCCAATTTCTAAGGCAGGCACTCATTTTCTCACAGATTGCACCATTTAATCTACAGTGGAGCCAGTCAAGCCACTTGCTCTAGTTCCAGTTAATTTTTTTAGACACTGGATGGGCAGGGAGTTGACCTGATAAAGACCCATACCCTCATTCCTTCATTACTCATCAGCCCTGTTGGCCAGACTGTGGGGTTCTCTACTTACTCAAGATTAAAAGGCTTTCTCCAGGTTTTGTTAACAGTTTGTACTTTATTGCATATGCAACTCTGCTATACCAGCCAGTTAATCTCCCTCCCTCCAAAGTTATCATCTTCATGGTATCAGCCCCATCTTGGGGCCAGTAAGCTACCCCCCTTTCCTTCTGGGGCAGAGTAGATGGAGTCTCTTGAGTAGGCAGTGGGCAGGGAGAGATCTACAACTGGTCATCACAGTCCTCTTCCAAGTATTTACACTTAAATTGGCACCCTTGGGAAGTTGTAAAGGGTCTCCAGGATGGGCAGGAGTGAGGCTTCCCCTCATCCAAGGTACAGGTTGGAAAGAACTAAGGCTGGTCTATCTTGGACCTCAGAAGGTGGAGAAGAGGAGCATGTTCTTGGATTTAGTGTGACTGGGGCATGAGCTGCCCAAACTTGTTCTGGTGGGCGATGTTCTTCGCATCTACGAGAGTCTGAGGAGGAGGCAAGAGAGGGCAGGTAAGAGAGAAGGACCCCTTACCTCACCCACTGCAGCCCTCAACCACCCTGTCTCCTGGACTACCCCACATGCAGAAGGGTCTCCCTTCTCCCCAGACCCAATCACAGAAGGTATGTGTCTGTGTGTAGGGGGGGTGTTCATGTGGAAGAGGATCTGCCCAGGACCCACCTGGTGGTGTATATAAGCCTGACAGTTGTAACACCAGGCAGACAGGTCAGCATAGCTGAGGACCAGTGGGTGTCCTGAGCCTTCGTGGTGCCGCACCATGTGGGCATTGATGTAACGACCACAGTAGACCTGAGGTTGGGGAGTAAGTGTTGGGTAGGGATCAGCACCCACCTGTGGTTTGCTCCTGAGCCAACCTCCAACCCTTCCCCTTTCTCTGCTGCATACCTGATAGCAAGACAGACACACCCAGTTCTCCTGGAGTACTCCACAGTCTTGACAAGGTTGGGTCACATCCAGGCCGGCTTCAGGTATGGGGCATACTGCCACCAAATCGGGACACCAGGGAAGTGGAGTCACAGCATAAAACATGGTCTAGGGTGGGTAAAACTGAGTAAGCTAGGAACTACATCTCTCCATTATATGTTTCTATATCACATGCTCCTACTTGGAGGTACCAGTCGTCCCAGCTTCTCCCTGAGCTCACCTGGTAAGCATAAACATGGTCCCCAGAGCTCTGCATCAGCACTGACTCATCCATGTCCTGACCTCCAACTGCCTCTCCTAGTAGCCTATCTTCTTCTGGTGCTTCCTGGACCAGAATATATGTGAGAGGCCCAATTCTTGCCCCTTCGTCCCCCTACCTGGGTGCAGTGGGCCTTACCTGAGGCTCATTGTCTACTTCCAAGGTCCTGAGATTCCCAATCAGCTTATCGAGAGAGATTTGGGGTGTGGCTCCTTGCACAGATGAGGATGGGGGAGTCTGGTTGTCAGTGTATGAAGCTGGAGGGATTCGGATTAGCTTGGCTCCAACCACAGCCTCCTCTGAGGTGGCCTGGTCCAGTGTGGCTCCCCCTGTAGCTGCCTCTGAGGTGGTCTGGTCCAGTATAGCAACTCCCATGGCTGCCTCTGAGGCGGTCTGGTCCAATGTAGCTTCCCCTGTGGCTGTCTCCAAGGGCTGGTTCTGCGTATGCTCCAACACAGTGGTCTCTGACTTTGTCTGGCCTGGAGTGGACTCTTCCACACATGATGCTGAGGTGGCCTTTCCTGTGCCTACATCCAGAATATTCTCTTCTGGTGGGGTCATCCCCTTGGCTGACCCAGAATTCGCTGTTTGGGGTGCCTTCTTGGTGACTGACTTAGAACTGTATGGTCTCTCCCTATCTTCGGCCTCTGGAACCATGGAAGGGAGATATTTGAGTGTAGGTGCTATCCCCTCTCCTGCTGTTGATCTCCACCCTTCCTTAAACCCCCCATTGCTCCCAATTCCCCATACCCACTCACTTGTGACCCGCAAGCTGCGCCAGTATCTGCGATGAACTTGAATGGTCTTGGTAATTGAAGCCATGGCCCCCAAAAGTGGGGGCCGTGGCAGAGTCAGCAGGGGTGGTGGGTCCCCAAGGAGGGAGCGGACACAGGCAGCCATGGACTCCGAGATGGATGTCAGGTTATAGCCACCCTTTGTTAAGGAAAAGGGGAGGAAAAGGTATGATGGGGGTAGTCCTCAGGGAATTGGGTTAATTTTGGCAAGATAAGAAACACAATAACGATAGTAACATTAGTAACAGGTGACACTGGGTGAGCACCTGCTGTGTGCCAGACCTGATTCTAAGCACTTATGCATATTAACTCACTTAATCCTCATAAGCATATGTGCTCAACCTGTAGAGGAACATGTCTTTACAGTATGGGAACCCCTGGCTGCACCCACACAGAAGCCCCTGGCCTGACCTGGTACTAGCACTCCCTTTTCTCATGTCTATAGGAACCCTGTTCTTTTTACAGGTAAAGAAACTGAGGCTCAGAGTGGTTAGATGACTTGTCTGAGGTCGTAACAGCTGGTTAGAGGCAGTGCTGGGGTTGGAAGCTGGGTTCTCTGATGAAAGCATTCATGCTCTTAACCACCATCCTACCCTGTACTGCCACAAGCAGCCCTGGGGAATTTTTACCAGCCACTGTAATCGCTCTGTGACTTATTGTCCTCATCTGTAAAGTAGGAAAAGTAACAGCATGTAAGTTTGCTGAAAGGGTCAGTGTATATGAACAATGCATCATAATGTTACAGCAGTTATACAGGGCTTCCCAGGTCCTTACACCAGGTACTCTTCCAGGATTAGCCAGCTCCATCTTACAGATGAGGAAACTGAGGCACAGGGAGCAAGGGCACTGAGTAATTTACAAAAGGTCAGCAAGTTTACTTTTGTCTCAGGAACTTGTTAGAGGCAGTTCAGGTAGTGGTAAAAACCATAGACTTTGCAGCTAGGTGCCTGGGTTCAAGCCTTGGCTCTGCCACTATTAAATGTGTGACCTCAGGTTAGTCACTATGCCTCTCTGTGCCTCAGTGTCCCTGATCTTGAGAGAGGAAAATGATGAGGTCAGCAGACTCTACCTCAGAAGGCTGCTTTGTCAAGTAAATGAATTAATAATATATACAAGTACAGAGAAGAGTGTTTTACACATAGTGAACACCCAAGTAAATTAAATCTTTAACACTGATGTTACTATTAATGCCTACTATGTGCCAACAATCCCAGGTGGGGACACTCAAAGACTTTAGCAAATCACTCTGAGTGTCACCAGCCAGCTGGCATGGGAAGAGGGTCTGAGAATGTTACCTCTAGGATAAGGATAATGCGGCCACTGGCAAGGCCCATCAGCAGGTGGGTGAGGTGGGCATAGCCCTCAGGTGACACATTACAGCCCCCGAGCGGGTCCCCTTGTGCAGCATCAAAGCCAGCTGAGACCAGTACCAGTTCTGGATTAAACTGAAGCAGGGTGAGAAGAGATGTGTGGGCATGAGGGTGGGGGCCTTGGTAGGCAGTAGGTGAGAAAGACCCAGAGATACAGAGACAAGGACAAACGAAGATGTGCAAATGCAGGTTAGAGAGATGGGCAACATGGGACTTGGAGACGGGGAGACCTAAGACCAGAGCTCTGAAATAGGAAGGGGAGGACATGGAGACATAAGAGACACCAAGACACTGAGATAGATTAGAAGAGACATGGACACACCAGACTTAGACATGAAATACAGAGACATAGAGATATTTTTAGAAATGTACAGATGGGACACTGAGGGAGAGTCATGAGACAGATACAAGAGACAGAGACATGAGACGGAGACTCAGATGTCAAGACAAGATAACATGGGACACATGTGCACAACACAAGGTTTTATACATGTGGTATCAAAGAGAGGCACACATATACTTCCAACACAGAAGATGACAATGCAAGTGCCACACACAGGAGAAGGTTACATATAGCCACACATACCCACACACAGACAGGTCCATACAGACTGGACTACACATCGCACTAGTCACACACACAGTTTCTCACTTAGGGGCTAGCAATTACAGCCACCGCTGCACAGATACAGTCATACATATGCCATTATACACATACACATCACAACAGGCTACACACAAATCACAGACATGATGCTCACATTCACCCACCCTCAGAGTCAGCCATACACATACAATCTGCCAGAGGAGGTGGCCACCTACAGCCACTCACGCAGTCACACAAATATATACAGGCTACCCACAGTCAGAGAGAGGTACATCAACAGCCATGGCAGATGGACAGATGACTGTCACACACAGCCTCCCGCATGTAGAAAGTCACACACCTGCTGTCACAGAAAAAGCGATGTGCAGTAATACTCAATATCACACCTATCACACAGAGAAATGGCAGTGAAAAATACCTACCTGTGCACTCTCACATATACTCAAACCCTTCCCTGCCTTGCATGCTCAGCTCCAGAGATGGCAGTCACACAGGGCCACCATCGCATACAGGCACTAGTGATAGTGTGTGCACAGGACACATGTACAACCAGGCACACACAGACCACCCCTCATACCCAGAAGTCCCTCAGTTACACAGAGAAGGCAGTCACAAAGAGCCACTGTGTACAGTCAGACCCCTATGCAAAGGGCATCACTGTCACATCCCCCCACAGCTGCCACTATAGCCACCCATAGGATATCTCATAGGACCAGACACCTAGGAGTCAGTCATATGCACACCCGCTGCCACCCACAAACAGTGTCACATACCTCCTGAACCGTACCTCATAGGCAATGGGAAGCACCAGACGATGCCAGGCAGACAAGTAGTCGGTGTCACCCATGTGGGGCCCATTCCAGGCCACGTTGACAGTGAAGCCTGTGCCTGCAGCCCTGCCCATTTGGCTGCAGGCACCCTCATCCCCCATGGGAAAGAAGGTGCCGTGATCATAGCGGTGCAGGGAA